CGAGCTGCTTGTTATTACAAGTATTTTGTTGGCTCATTCATTCGCAGATTTTATCGCTCCACAGGTACTCTCGATCTCAGGTCTTTGTGCAATTGTTGATTTTGCTCCTGGGTTGTCCTCCCTGTTGCTTTGCTACCTTCCACCTCCTCCCTACACCCCATTCTTTAACTCCATTATCACATTCGCTTCCATGTTATTGGGCTTGTAGCCCGTGTGTACTTGCGAATTCAAACGAAACCGCAACTGCTCGTTCTGCTGTCTGTACTTACATGCATGTACATACAAAGAACGCTTCTGTCTGTCCGTGCCACCTGACGCAAGCTACCACGCGGGACGGAAGCCTAGACTAGCAAACGCCAAAGGCTCGGTGCCGTGTTCCGTACTCGCTCGCTCTCCGTACTGTCCTCCTGTAAGAATCTCCGGTGAGCAAGTGACTCAGCAGGCCTGCGCACAGTGTGCAGAGCGGAGCTTAGCTATCTCAACTACTACAGTACTAGTAGCATCAGCAGTAGTTGAGGGTGAAGTTGTTCTGTGAGGCGAGACGACGGGTCGTGGCCGGAGCGCCAGCCACCGAGTGTCCTCTCCCGTCCCGCTGTTGATGTTTGTTGTGGTCCCGTGCTGGCGAAGGCGATGGGAAACAAATGTTCTGGCTCGGTGAAGAAAAAACCGGCGAGCGAACAGAATGACGGGCAGTCTCTAGAAAACCAAATCTACTTCTTTCCGGACATGAGCAAGGTGCAGGCGGAGGAATATCTCGGCCAGTGCGAGAGCCGTGGCACGTTCCTGGTACGACGGAGCCAGACCGTCGGCGGCGAGTTCTCCATATCGGTGCGCACCGACGAGATGGTGGAGCACTATCGTATAGAGCAGAACGCGGTGCCGCCCTACAAGTACTTCCTATCGCGGCATGCCTTCTTCGACACGCTGCCCGAACTCATTAAGTTCTATCAGGATAACACGGACACGGGCAGTCTGAGATTGACGACACCAGCTCCTAGGACAGTAGCCGGACATCCGAACTCCTATGCATGACGTGACGGGTCTGCTTTGGAGCAGTCAGTGAGACTGAGAGTGAGAGAACCTTGCCATGTCCCCGTTCACCGCCTGGTGATGGTGGATGGTGCGCTGGAAATGGAATGTCTCCCTGCTTTTGTGTGGTGAGTGCATGCTGTGCGGTGTCATCGTTACGTAACGCTGTCGTTTGAGTGTGCTGGTCTTGTCTTCGTGTGTACTTACGTGTGTGTGTGTGTGACTGTGTTTTTTTACGAGAAACCACGAACCTCGAGAACAGAATACTGCATGATAGAGATGTGGTTGCAGATGCAACTGTGGTGGTGAAACTGGAGCATCTCCGGCTACCTGAGGTCTCGGCTTCAGCGACACTTCAGTGCACCAAAAACTGGGGAGAAGTAGGCACAGGGGGAGGGGAGGGGAGGGGGGTACATTTATACAGTATGTATGTACATGTATAGAGGAAGGAAAACGGAAAGATGATACATGTGATAGAGTAAAAAAATAAAAAAATTAAAATAAAAAGGGGGGAGCCATGGTGCAAGCGGAGAGGGTGTTCAGGGAGTGTTCAGACTCAGAGTGCATCTGTGGCTGAACGCCAGTCTCGGCAGCGGAGAGACTTGTAGGCGCCTTCATTGAATGCCTGCACTCCCTTCTGCGTGGGAAGGTTGCGTAGCAGGGCAGATGGGAGACGATTCCAGTCTTGGATCGTGGCATTGGGGAATGATCGGAGAGCACTATTACGGGCTCCGGCGGGCAGTGTTGGTGCTAGTTGGTGCTGGTGCTGGTTCTCTTGCTGGTGGCGAGTGGAGCGCCGGTGCTGGTTAGCAACTGCCCTCGGTGGTGTCATGGTGGTCAGGATTGGGGGACCGTCAATCCAATGCAGCTTGTGCAGGCATGTGAGTGCTGCGACTTGACGCCGAACAGTGAGGCTTGGGAGGTATGACCCTGGGCCAATGAGCTGTGTGTGTGTTTTTTTTGTTTTGTTTTTTTGTTTTTTGTTTTTTTTTTATCACATTGCACATACCTACGGAAGAAGGGGAGACAAAACGAAGACGAAACAAAAAGACAACAATGGGTGTGTAGGCGCTACATGAGCTGCGCTGGTGAGATACAGTGTGTGTGTGTGTGTCCGTATGTGTGCGTGTGTTTATGTGTGCGCGTGTCACTGTGTGTGTGCGTGTGTATGTGTGTGTGTGTGTCCCATATGGTGCAGTGGTATGTGCAGCGATTTCCAATCGAGATGTTGCGGGTTCGATTCCCGACGATTGTAGTCACACACGTCTTTCTTCTCTTTCTCAGACTCCTCCTGACTTTTCTTTCATTCTCCTGGGTGGTTACCAACAGCCAGTGCATGCCGGAGTATGTGGTGTAATGTGTGTGCTGGAAAACAAAATGAAAAAGACCAAAAGTAGGGAACTAGGGATTCACTGGCCAGAAAAAGCCACTTCATAGCTGTGTGGTGTAGACGAGGCTGAATTGTGGCGGTCAATTCTTCTGCCTTGCACGCTGTTGAATGATGCAATCCAAGCACAAGTTGCTATGGTTTCTGCTGTAGCATCGCTATCATCGCCTCCGGCGATGGGCGTCAAATGGTCAAATGGTGTGTGAAAGTAGGGATTCGCTGGCCAGAAAAAGTCACTTCATAGCTGTGTGACTAGGCTGAATAGTGGTGGTCAATTATTCAACCTTGCGAGCTGTTGAATAAAACTGTGAACGGTACCATTCAGCTGTTTCTTAACATACATAAAAACTCTCCTCCTCCATGCGCTCTAAAGCCGACCATTGCTACCCTCGGTAGCCATTACTCACACCAATAATCTCAAACAACAAAGGGGTTACGGGCAAAACAATTCCGAAAGCTGTTTCGCCTATCAAGGGTTTTTCAGAGAAGGTGATTGACATGGAAAAAATTACTAGTAATACATGTATAATCTTGACTAGTTTGAGGGAAAGACACAAACGGGAAAAATATGTATACATGTAAGTTACTGTAATTTCACACATTTTCGGTGTACTTTTATTTTCGGTACTTTCGGTGCGTCTGTTTCATACCTAAAATTTCAATACATCGAACAAACACTAACACACATAACTTGATCCAATAGGGAATTGCTTCTCTGTCCCGAAAATTACTGTTCACCTAACCTGGCCTGTTGCCCTCATACCGAAAATATTGAGCACCGAAAATTTCTGAAATTAGATACAAAAGAGAAAGGAGCAAGGAACTACGAGTAAGTTACGCTATACTGTCCTCTACACCACCAGCTAGTAAACAATCAGCTCATGCGATAACATTGCACGACACTGACCTTCCCCTCCTTATGTTTTTTTTCTATATTATACATAGAACCTTCCAAGTTGGAAGGCTGTTGGAGTGCGCATCCAAGATGTGCTAGAGCTGCTAGCCAGTTAGTTGTAGAACGTCAGTACCGTCGGTCAGTGTCGTGCAATGTTATCGCATGAGCTAATTGTTTAGTAAGTGGTGGTGTTAGTGGACAGTATAGCGTAACTTGTAGTTCCTTGGTCCTTTCTCTTTTGTATAAATTAAACCTTGGTTCTACATCCGAGTCCAATATGTACATGTACATGTATAAGGTACATGTGTATTAATAAGGGCGCAATACACTAGGCAAGGTGTTACACTGAGAACGTAAACGAATATTCTCAAAGCAGCACGCAGTGCCCAGGGTTCTAGGAAAAATAGCAGGTGAGAAACTGTATTCGTCCAATCACAAGTTGCTAACATTTTGCATGGCTCGATAATGCACTCCACCCTCGTAGACTGTACATCTCTTATGCAAGTTATGGGCTTTGTCTTTTGTGTTTTTTGTTTTGTGCTGTTTGTTTTGTTGTTCGCTGTTCATTCAGAACTGCATCTTACTAGTAAATATCGTGAGGTCAGGAGACCAATACTCTCAGTTTGTGATGATTATAAGATTATTTCAAGAGGCCAACGCTCACCGTTTGTCTTCTGATTATAAGATTATTTCAAGACCCCCCCCCCCCCCCCCCCCGTGACTCTGGCAACTGACTGAAGCGTGTAGCTTATATATATTATTATTATTTAAATTTTTGATAGGGCAGTCCCCACAGGCGCTTGTCTATGCATACAGCATGGACATGAGAAGATTGGTCACGGGTTAGTAGTCCATGCCCTAGGCGATAACTGCATGCTTGTTAGTCCGGACAAAGACTTTTTGAAGTCAATGACTGTGTACATGTACATGTACTAGGACTAGTAGGAGTAGTTTGGATCAGTTCCTTCCCTTGTCACCATGGCTACAACCCACTTCATGTAATCTCGCACTAATAGTAATAATAATACGCATGAGCAGCAAAAGACAGCACCGACTAGCCTTAGGCTGTGTTTACATGAGAAATTTCAACCCGGGTCGAGTTCAGCCCGGGTTGAAAGTCTGTACGATAGACAAAAGAGGTGAGCGTTTACATGAAGACAGTTGACCCGGGTCAAATACTGATATGCCGCCAAAAGTCCACTTCTACAGTCCTGCATGGTCACGTGAAACCGTTCGCGCGAAATTTGCATCTGCAGTTCTGTTCAAACCTGGCGCGAGATACGCACAGAAGTACGTTTGTACGATTTTCTTGACCCGGGTTGGTTTCAACCCTCCCCTTGGGGGGAGGGTTGAAATCAACCCGGGGCGAAATTTCAACCCGGGTCAAGCGCAATGCGTCATGTAAACGCGCCATTCACTTTGTGCACATGGCGGGTTGAAATCTGACACGGGTCGAACTCAACCCGGGTTGAAACGCCTCATGTAAACACAGCCTTACTAGACCTTTTCTGAGATACTCACGTACACATCCACGTACACATCCACATGCACTCTTCATGTACATGTACATGAACATGTATCTCCTAAGCATGGTACTGTGCAGCACATGTGTAGTTCTTTGTAGATCTACACAACAAACCTGCAACACACCAGCACAATGTCATTCCCTTTATACAGTAGAGATACATGTACACTAGTATACTGCTTATTAGAAGTTATTACTCTGGAAGTGAAAACTAAACCAATGTAGAGAGTGCGATGAATTTTACCTAGTTTTTTTTACTTGATTATACAGCAAGAAAAATGTACATTTTCTCGTTCCTACACTTGTACAGTTCTCAATTGCATACACACTCGTACTCTGCACACTGTTCTGCTAGTCCATGTGTCATGCATGAGGCTGAAGGACATTACTAGGGCGGTTGGGTATACATGTAGGTAAAAGTGGGGAGGCTTCCTGCAGTTTCATGAACAGTTGAGAGTAGAGCCCACACGCTCTCTTCCATTAACACTGCAGCTGTTCAACTCATTTCACAATACTACAATGTTTCGGCAAATTGCCTTTGTGAACCTGATGAAGGCAATTTGCCGAAACGTTGTAATAATTGTGAAATGAGTTGAACTACTGCAGTGTTAATGGAAGAGAGCGTGTGGGCTCTACTCTCAACTGGTGGGTATGGGAATATAATAAAACACTGTATTCTAGACTAGGATTTGTGAGCAGGTGGTCAGGTTTCGATATTGCCTGACGGTAGCCTATCTTGTTCCAGATGTAATCACATAGCGATAATACCACTAGCCCGAATGTATAAGTGCACATAATAATTATGGTGCACGTGCTACGGGCACTAGGTGCAAGAACGTACGCAAGAACGCAGTGGAAGTTATTGGTAATGTATTGCCAGTGCCTGGCACTCTACCTAAATAGAAAGATCGCAATAATCATATTCCTACTTTTCTTTTACGATAGAATGGCTCTGCAAGGGAGAGATGGGGAGGGGTTGGTCGAGATTACGACACAAGGGGTGTGTGTGTGTGGGGGGGGGGGGTAATTACGTTAAATCAGAGGAGGCGGCTGGGCGATAGCCGTGGCGTTGAACGGAGAGCCCTCGATGTGAATGCCAGAGAACGTGACATTGATAGTGTAGTCTCCGTCGGCCGGCGGGGCGTACATGACGTCGATGGTCCCATCGTCGGCGTGCTGCAGCTGTACGCCAGTGTGACCGGGACCCTCCACGGTCACGGACACGTGGCCAGCGCCGGCGTTGCGAGGGTCCACGGTGAACTTGTTGGTCTCGCCGACCGTGCACATGTCCAGTCCCAGGCCGGTGGCCAGCACCTTGGCCGGATCGCCCTGGATCACCGGCACCACGCCGTTCTCGTCCTCCACGCTGATCTGGAACGGCGAGTGAGGCACGTCCTCCGCACCCCAGCGTATGTGCAGCTCGTAATCGCCCAGCGCCGACACCGTGTACTGGAACGTACCCGGTGCGCCATCATCGGCGTACGTGATGCTCGGCTGCGACGGCCCCGACATCTCCATGGACAGCCTGCCCAGGCCGGCGCGCGACGAGTCCACGGAGAAGTACGCCGCCTGGTTGATGCGACACGTGCTCAGGCCGTCGCCGCTGCACACCACTTTCTGAGCGTTGCCCTTCGGTGGTTCGTAGCTCGAGTCGGACCGCACCTGGATACTGAACGGACTGCCAGGCACGGGTTCGTCGTTGAAACGGACGTCTAGCGAGTATTCGCCAGCGTGATGTGGTACGAAGCTGGCCTGATACATGCCCGGACATTCGTCTTGCATGCGATTCGACAGCTCCGTGCGTGACGGACCCGTTACGTGATAAGTCAGCTTGCCACCTCCAGCTTCGGTGGTGTCGACCAGTACACAGACATCCTGGCCTTGAACACCTCCCGACACCAACGCGGGTCCGCTCACCTTGCAACTCATACTCGGCTCAGACCTACAACACACACCTCAAAACACTCACCCACACAGACACACGGACACACCGAAGGCTATGGATCCAGGCTCGGACCTACTCCGCCAATCAATTATTATTATTTCAGCGTTGGTTTCTGGCCGACCCGCTTTCGGGATGATCTGGCTCAAATCTTCAAATTGCTACGAACTTCCTCCTGCTCTATGGAGGAAAACAAAAAAGCCTTGCTGATCGCCAAGGCCAGTCGCAACTTATGGCCACGACCAGCAAAACACTCCACGTGGACGTTGGCATTTTCGCATTCGGCCCAACCTGAACCAGAGCTGCCAAAACTCGAACTGTACTGCGAGCTACTTGCCAGATGCACCGCGCCCACCAGGGAGATCTCCTGGAAGCTGGCTGGGCCGACTGTTCATCACCTCTCACAAGTCACAGGCTTACATTCATTGGTGATACCCATGACATGTGCACGCTGCTCAGGCGGCTTCAGCGTCTCGCTGGCCCTATACTCTGCTACACTGAGACATTCATGTGTCATGCAGTTTCAGCCGCTGTGGTGCTGGTGGTGGCGATGCTTGCAACTGCCTGGATCATGGATGGAGATGGTCTCTCCGCATGCTGGGGCTGAGCCGGGCCATGCCCTTTGAAGTACCAGTGTAGTGTAGTGTATACTACATCAAAGACATGACGCTAGTGGTGCAGCTAGCGGTGGGCTGTTTTGGTACTTGTTGTGGACTGGGCCAGCCGCGCCGCAGCGGTTGAGTGAGAGTGTGACCCTGGCCTGGAAAGGCTGGGGATGATGCCTTGATGGTGAAGCCTACAGGCTACAATCATGTGCATGGCCGTTCAGAAATACATTGTACTGGTGATAAACGAATATAACCGGTGGGCTGAAGTCTTTACACACAGCACGTGACCTGCAAACAATAGTAATAATAATTGTTACTGTAGTTATGGGCCGTTACACGCCCGCGCCTGATTGGTTGAGAGACTCACCTACTCTCCCCTGACTCACTTGTGAGGTCTGCATTTGCCACTAAGGTGTAAGGCATAGGCATAGTGGTGGCCTGCGGAAGCGAAGGCTAGTTTGTGTGTTTCTGAGCATTCAAGCGATGCCAGCGCGAATCCCGCGAATTATTATTGATAATTTATTATTATTACTGTAAAGCCAGAGTGATATCCTCGGTCCTACAAGTACAAACAGCAAGCCGTTGAAATGGCAAATGGCAGTCGGCATTCTAGCACTGCTTCCACATCCCCACCCATTCATTGATTCGCCTGAGAGACTGGGTGTACACTGCATGTGGGGTCGGGATGCCACTACTACTAGTGCTCGGAGGTCAAAACTGACTGTGTGATACCAGCGTTCCAAGTACTGA